ATCCACATTTAGTAGTGCATGGCTCGCAAGTTTACCACAATATCGCAAATTTACTGTGAACTGGTAAAACCACCACTGTCCTGATTAAGAAATGTAATAGGCACACAAGAAAAATCTCAGGAAGGAGGAAGCGGATGAATCCCCCAGATAATGTGCGGCTCCATCACTAGAGGTAACAAGTGAACTCGTTAAGCTGGGCTGTTTATCTTGGCTGACTCATAGCCATCAACAACAGAAACAGCCAAAAACACAGCTCTGACAAGTCTCTGGGGCCACAGTTTAGCTAACTGAAATGCTGGAGGTGGAAAAGCCTTGCATTAAAGAAGATCTCAGTAATGCATTTTGTCACTTAGTTGTTTATATGTCCATTCTGTTCTACCTATAGGTAGGCACAAGCTACACCTTTTCTAGTGATAGCAATGACTCCAAAGGAGCTGGCACCTTTTAAATATCCCATGATGGGAATGAGAAAAAGAAAAAGGTCATATTTAACTGAGAAAAAAAAAACGTCCAGTGTACCGTTCTCCACGCTGCATTAAAAAAAATCAAATCCTGAAACATCTTTCCTTGTAGTTCCATTCACTCCACTCTCCATCCACTATCCAGGCTTTTGGCTATCATGCTTATCTGAACCTCTGAGCTTTCAGACATTTACTCCTTGCCTGGTGCATTCAGAGTAGGGTCCCTTTCAAGCATATCCCAAACCCACTCTTGCATCACTGCACTGCTTTCAACAGTCATAAGCGAAAGGTGCACTCCAATGCATTTATATTCTAGATTCAGAACATTTCTAGAAATAAACTGTAATAAGGATTCTAAAGGGTTTCTCTAAGTCTACTCAGAAGCCAGAGGAGATTTAAACCTCACCTTTAAATCTATCTTTTGTAGGCTTATGTCATGCCCAGAGTTCATAATTTTCATAGCTCTGAGAACAATGCAGGATGATCCACATTTAGTAGTGCATGGCTCGCAAGTTTACCACAATATCGCAGATTTACTGTGAACTGGTAAAACCACCACCGTCCTGATTAAGGAATGTAATAGGCACACAAGAAAAATCTCAGGAAGGAGGAAGCGGATGAATCCCCCAGATAATGTGCGGCTCCATCACTAGAGGTAACAAGTGAACTCGTTAAGCTGGGCTGTTTATCTTGGCTGACTCATAGCCACCAACAACAGAAACAGCCAAAAACACAGCTCTGACAAGTCTCTGGGGCCACAGTTTAGCTAACTGAAATGCTGGAGGTGGAAAAGCCTTGCATTAAAGAAGATCTCAGTAATGCATTTTGTCACTTAGTTGTTTATATGTCCATTCTGTTCTACCTATAGGTAGGCACAAGCTACACCTTTTCTAGTGATAGCAATGACTCCAAAGGAGCTGGCACCTTTTAAATATCCCATGATTATTTTCTGCCATTTCAGGCTGGCTTGGCAATTAGGTGAGCAGCAGGACTTTAAGGCCCAGGCAGCATCTTTAACTTCAACCTTTGCTGTAAAAGTAGGTAACATAAGCAGTTGGGTTGCAGAGAAAATTTCTCCTGGAGATCATTAGCTTGACAGGCTCTGGCAGGCAGTAAGATAACGGGGAGAAAGGCCCCACCAGAACTACTTACTTCATCATCATTCTCCAAGACCTGCGAGTTCTTGGGTACAGATATGAAATTTCAGTAATTCAAGCTTGCACCTCTCGCTAGCACTAAACCCAGGCGGTTAGAGTTCAGATGAAAATACAGATTTTAGGAAATTTAGCTGAGCCTCATCCAAACTACCAAACCTCTTAACCACATGAGGAGATCCAACGATTTGAGAGGACACGCTGTTGTTGTTAAACCTGAGATCGTTGCTCTGTCTGGTATGCCCGAAATCACCTCCATGAGTTACCTGTGGCATTCTGGCGCTTTCCCACTGGCCTTCAACTGCTAACACACAGAAAAACCCACAAGAAGAAAATGTAGCTGTTAAGCCATGTTTTCCAAGCTTGTAAAATAAACTAATTTTAAAAAAAATCATGTAGCATTGAATTGGTTTGCCCAGCTCGTTATTAGTAGCCACACTAGAACCACCAGCTGAACAGCAAATTTTTGCAAGGACCAATGTTGTTTCTTCAGTTAACGTTTATTGTGTATGTATCCATCAAAGCACTACATGGAAAGAGGGGGCACACACAGAACAAGTCACGGCTTTGCTTTCTTGCCAGCTCATGGACAGCATTGCTCATGCACAGATCTTTTGGCATTTAAAATTCATAGTGCAGAAGCATCTACTGATCCTAATTAGGATCAAGAAATTTTATGAGGTGTTGTACAAAACAAAGATGGTCACAGTTCTGCCACAAAACGCTTGCACTTGGAGAGGCTGACAACTCAACTATTGCACCGTGTATTAGATGAGAAGTATTTTTTCATGTTATTCTAGTCACCCTTAAATGCAGATATGACACTACTGCTAGCTCTATGCGGTAATGGAGGGCATTCCACTTCTTGCAGCAAACTCAGGACAATACTTCAGCAGCTACCGAGGCAAAAGAGCTACTTTGTCTTATAAGTTCTTTTTTATATTTTTGTGCATATATTTTATTTCGATGGAAAATTCAATCACATAGTAGTATTAGTCAAGCTGAATCTAATTTAGAAGATAATTCTTTTTCAAACAAAAAAAGAAGTTGGCCAAAATTAACAAAAGTATACATTTTTACTGTCTTCCTAATAGGAACAATTTGACATTTGATTTCAAAATTCAGCAATATTTTTGAGAGATGTGTCCCGTCTCCAACACTTCTTTCCCCAAGAGAGACAACCAAATAGTGGTTTGCTTATGTTTAGTTTAACAGAACACTTGCTCTCACTCTTAACCAATGTCAAAAAGGCTTTTCTAGTTCATGAAGTACAGAAAAATCAGAGGGGAAAAAAAAAATCAAATCTTTGCATAGCCCTATTGGCCATGATCAACCTTCCTTCTTGGGATGCATATTAAGACAGAGCAGGTTACCTTTGAGGTGAGTTTAGTATTTAAGCATTCCTTGGGAAACCTGCATTACTGACAGAGAGCAGCTTTCCTAAGGCTGAGCAGAGAGCTGGATGGGATCAGAGCTCAGGAGCAATGTCTCCCAGTCACATGCCATCCCCAGCTCTCTTCTGCAGCCCACTAAAGGCCCCTGGCAAGCCGAATCCCCAAAATGAGGCAGTAGAGGATGCTTCTTCAAATATCTCCTTGATGCCAAGGATGTTTCTATGGTAATTCTGCATTCAAAGTTACAGGCTCGTGCTGCGTGAGAGGCTACACCAGGGCCCAAGGAGATGAATGAACCTATCTAAGGTTGTACATACCCAGGGGGCTTCCATAATTTTGGGTGCGCAGAAATACAAAGACGGAATAATGGCAATGTTGTGCTGCACTTCAGTTGTTGAATTACTTCAATACCTTGCTCACAGATGTGTGCATGTGAATCTAATCAACCAAACTCCTCGCAGACAGCAGAGATTATTTTGAGATATTATTCCTGCTTCTGCTACGGAAAAAGCAGCACCAGCATTTCATAACCTCTTGTATACAGGGATGTGCGTGTGTGCATGCATGCACAAACACACACACACACACACACCCCCCATACACACACAAAAAAAGCTGAGGATAAAAAGTTGCCTATAATATAGCACATTATTCTCAGAAAGATACGACTTCTAATAACGGACTTGCCTTTTCAAGCGGAAAAAACACACCAAAAACCTGTTTGATCATTCATCTACCAAAACGTTTACAACAAAAAAACAACAGGGGGAAAGGAAAGGTGGCACTATCAGAAATAAAAATCTGAAGAAAATGACATTTTTCCATATCACTTTAAATCCTAGAAAAGGAAGCTTTTCAGTATCTTTTCTTCTTGAACCATTTTTTGCTTCAGATCCTAAACCAGCACATTCAATGATTCAATTTGCTGTTCAATAACAGGGACTCGACGTTGTCTTTTAAATGCATACCAAAAAAGCTGCATCTTTTTGCTTTCATTTTCCCTGTATGTTTGTTGCATACCGACATCAAATTCCCTGCAGTCACCCTAACCCTGCAATTGGAGAAACGGTGCTCTAGGGTTTTCCACGTGTCTAATACACCTGGATAAAAAGTGCTAATTGTCACCAACTTCCATTAAATGACAGCAGTAAGGCACAAAATACGCTTGATTTGCAGACGCTAGTGCCACTGGGAGTTAGCAGCAGATTAATAATTGTGCAGACCTCGAACATTCCCCTGGCACTGCCCGTCTGGGTTTCCAATGTAACGCCAGATTATGAGGCCTTTGTTTTTAGCTTGCTTTCCTAAGGAAATAAGGCTTAGGCAGTTGCACTCTCCCCCTGTGCATGTGTTTGACTGTCCTACCTTCCCACAATCATTTCTGGTCAATCTGAACACATTTTATAGGAGGGTAGAGGTCACAAGCGTACTTAGCAGTTTTGTGAAAAAGAGGCAGCTAGGTAGATCTAATCAAGCTTGAGCTTAAGTGTTTCAAACATCCTGGCTTTCTAGATTCAGGAATTCTTGGGGACAGATGAACCCTAATTCTGCTCAAGTTTTAGTAGCGCTGAAAGTAGAGGGGAGACGTGCCGTATCACGTATCCAGCAGGCAGCAACTCTCGCATCTGACCGTCTTTACAGATCAGGTCTCAGACTAGGTTACCAGTTGTGGGTTGGGTTTGTTTTTTTTTTTCCTTTCTTTTTACAAACCTATATGCCAAAAATCCTATTTCAGCTTGAGGCTTTGAGTATGCATCGGGAGGCAGCTTCTTGCGCAGGTACAATCTTGCTCCAGTTTCCTCCAGATAAGTTCAGGGACCAAAGCTTTACCTTCCCCTTTCTCCTTGCTCTGCTGCTGCTGCTGTTTCCTCTCTGCTCTCGGCGCACGTGGGCACGTACTCCTGGATGTGAGGACACCGCCCCTATGGCATGCAAGCTTACTGACGGCTCCAGTGGCATTACAAAGCTCATTTCTGCGTGCAGCAACATGATTATGGCGAAGGTGAGGGCGAGGTTGAGCGAATGTGTTTCAACACTTCTTTCTTGGTATTTATTATAGTGCCGTAGCATCCCTGCAATCTGGCCTGCTGCTGCTCCAGCTGCTTATGCAAGCTCCTGATCGAGCGCAACAGCAGAAGCCGTCGGTACATAGCTAGCTGGAGCCGGTACTTCTCCTTTTCCTCCTTTTTCTTATTTTCTAAGGTCTCCACTACTTTAGTGGTCTTCGTCCAAATCACCCGGCCCAGACTACAAGGACCCATATCGCCCTTAGTGTTGCTCCCTGCCTGCGGCAAGTGGCAGCCCCCGGGGTCGCTCCCAGGCAGGACAATGACAGCCTGCGGGGGCTCGCTGGCCCTGCCAGGCACCCTTGGGACCTGGGACACCTCCAAACTCAGGTCACCATCGCAGCAGGGGCTTTCAGAGCATGGGGATGCAATATTCACAGGCTGCAGGTTACCGATAGCCGCTGGGTGTGACAAGCCGCCTAGTGATGCATTTATAGCTGTTGGATGATGCTCGGCCAAGCCAGAGGCTGCCCTCTGTGCCTGGCTACTGCTAACCATCTCTGGGTCAGCAAGGGCTTTTGCTTGGGCCACAGCTTTGCTGGAGAGGACAGACAGTCTTTCTGGCACTGCTGAGCTTCCCTTGTCTTCATTAAGGCTGGCTAACAAAGGGCTGGCTGAGCAACGGGGGGATGCCATTACAACACCACGATTCTGAAATGGGTCTTCATCACCACTGTCATTTTGGATCTCCTCTTCATCTCTTGGCATTACATCTACTGTCTCAGCCATTTATTGCATGAGCTACAGAAAGTTTCTGTGGACAAAGTGGAAGCAAAAGGATTTCATTTCCACATACACACACAGAAGCCCAGCACAGAGTGACATTTGAAGAAAGAATCTCTCTTTATATTTAAGCAATGGACCTATTACTTTTCTAATAAAGCACAACCCTTGGGTCACTTCAGGCCATTTCTTGTGATTTGCATTAGATGTTCTTCGAGACACAACATTAATCCAATAATAATTAAAATGATATACTGTACTATTAACATTCTCAAATCTTTAAAGGCAAGCGATCTATCCCTGCAGCACTGGCTGTGCTGACTAATTAAACAGAATACAGTTGCAAATGGGCATTGTAAGCACTTCTCCCATTTAAGAACACAGCTCTAACAAGTGTAGTTTGTAGAGACGGCTGAGTTATCAGGATTGATCAGCTTTAAAAGGAGGTGGATGTACTACAAACAGCAGGTTGCATTTAAATGCCCTCTCCAGAATTAATCTGTCTGCTACCAGTTTGTTTACAAGGTTGCCTTTCCCCCTCCTATTAATTCTAACAGTAAAGCTATATTAGCACCACTCTAGCCATAGACAGCAAGAAGAAACCAAACACTTACCGAGGTTACTGGGGGAAAGGAAAAGAGTTACAGTGCATGGTGCCTGTGTATCAAGTTTTCTTGCATGTGAGTCAGCACAATCTGGAACAGAAACATCACGGTGCCAGAGCAGGAGCAGCAACAGCATTACGCTGTTCCACCCAGCAACAACATAGTCCCAATCACAGAGGAGTGCAGGGGCTGGTTTCTTCCCCCCCTCCCCCCAAGAGGATATTCCTCCCTGGCATCCAGCTTTTATGTCATCTTTGAGCACCAAAATGAAAACCAGGCTTGGACGACACTTCTCTTCCCACCTCAAAAAACAAACATACCCGATTCATTCAGTCTACGGGGGGACAGTATCTACGGCCCCTCCCGTCCCTGCCAGTCAGCAAGGGGGTAACACAGCACCAAAAGGAGGGTGAGGCATTCTGGACTCCAGTATACACATTTTCCTTCAGAGAAAAGCTAGAATAGAATAAAAAAGATAGAAAAGCTTAGATAAAGTTTAGCAGCGTGAACAAGCTAAACCCATAAACGAAACAAGTATTCAGCACCAACCGAACGCTAAGCATAAATCTGCAGTTCCTGCCTGCCTTTAAGTGTTTCATGTATACCCATGTTTAATTATGCTGGCCTAACCTTTAAGGAACAGCTTGGCATCCAACTAAGGTAGTACCCCACAGAACAATAAACTTTATCTGCACCTTTGATGTTCAGGAAAGCTACCTTCAGCATCCTCTCTCACTTGTAACACCAGGAACAAAATTCACTAAACATCTATCTGCATCTACTTCAGTCAATTTACCACAGGGCTTCAGTTGCCCCAAGACTTTCTCTACTCCATTCTGCTAATATAAATAGAAGAAAGAACCAGTCCAAAATACTATCTAGAATCTTCGGGGAGCTGGAAAAGAATGAAGGTAGATCCTATCTCCACTTCTACATGTGCTGCAATACAGATAATACTTTCTTATTTTTCATCTGCACTGACTTTCATTCTTTCTGATGAATCCGCTAGGACATACTTCCAACCTTGAACATATGAAATACAGTTAACAAATTCAGATTTGTACTCTGAGGTCTAATTTGAATGCATTTTTTGGTGCAAGAGATATTTCGCACTGAATTGGTAAAATAAACTAAGCCTGCTGTGTATATGTGCCAGAGCATGTTGCAGATTATATAAATAATACTAGGAAGAGATTAATATCCAGTAAGTTAATAAACTCTGCAAGTTTATATCTTGGTGATTCCCATTTATCTGAATCACAAGTTACGGTAATTGAAGAATATGGAATTCAGATAACAGGGATTTAACTGTGATACACACTGAAAAGGTTCATTGTAATACAGCATTATGTATAGAGACTTTTAGGTTCAGCTGCTCTCCTCTCCAAAGCACTACAGGCGTATCTTTCCCACCCCAACGAGGACAGTGGATGGGTGCTAGGTAGTACATGGTCTCCAGCTATGTCAATAGCTTTCTATCAGCAATAGCATTCTGCTCCTCACTTCTACCTTTGGAGCAATTTGCTTCAAAATACCTATTTTCTAATAGTCAAACAGGGCATGAAAAAAAAGCAGAGTTTTGCTTTGGGGGTTTTTTCGTGGGCTGTTTTGTTGTTTGTTGATTTTTATTTTTTAAAGCTCTCCGCAGCTTTAATATTTCTGCAAAATTTTACAGACAGTGTTGTTTGAAGGGATGGGGAGGGGGACAAAAAAGTGGGTTTTGCACGCCAAATTAGTTTCATCAAAAATAATATCAAATGTTTTATACATGTGGATCTGGGTGGAATAAATGGCATCTGGTACATGCAACTAAACAATAAAACTACAAACAATCAAAACTCATTGAGCTAGATGACTTTACATAGGATATTATTATTTCAGCTGAAATCTGTGAAGCTTAATAGCAAAAAGTATTCAGTCCATTGGACTTAAGAGATTCAGTGAAACAGAAATACTGTAAAGATACATATTTATTATTGCTAAAATGCAAGTGCCTTTTATGGCTTGGGCTGCATGCATGTTTCTGTTATTACCCTCCCTTCCGTTGTTCACAAGTTCCTAAAATCTCATCTAGAGCACCAGATGGAAATTTTCTAGATTCAGTTTCTGCCTGAAGGTGAGTATACACTGAACACTTCAGCCAAAATGATTGAGGCGCTTGAGTATGAAAGCGGGAACAAAACCAGTCTTATGGCTGGGGAGACTTACAGAAACCTTTCAGGAGAAAGGCCTCTTGTGTAATGCACAGACTGGGGAACAGGGAACAAGACCACAGCTCATTTCAGACAAAAACATGTAAATTCTTGTTCTTAGCTGATAGAACAATCCCTCTTTCCCCACCACGACGGTTACCTTGACAAAGTGACTCCTACAGTTTAGCTCCCTTTTATTTGCAACTCAACAGCTTAATAAAGAGACCTGAAAAGACCTTATATTAGCTTCCTCTGCTGCAAGAGGCACGTTGTGCCATTTCACTCATTAAGAAACATTTTGGGAAGAGTTTGCTGTTCACAGGCAGACTTTACTTGATGCCTCTTGCTCACTCCCAGATTTGCTTTCTGAGGCAATATTTGTGGGAACCTTTCCAGGCAGAAGCTGCTTCAGATTACACAGTGAATACATCTGTCCATCCAACACACTGAGAATTTCAGGTAGGTGAAATGAAAGCAAAGACGCCTCCAGTTGAGGTTCATTGCATTTTATTACCACCCACTCACAGGTAGATGCGGCTGCAGCAGTTTCAGGGTGTAGACCCTGGGGAGCCACCTTCAAGCTGTCAGTCTTGCATGCCCTTGCAAGGTTTATGCCAGCAGAGGTTTTTAATCCATCGCACTCCTTCAGATATTAGCTACAAGAGGTACTTGGCAACCTACAGGCTCGTTCTTATCTGTAAGCACATGCTAAAATGCTCTGTGCTTGCCCGCCTATGGAATGAGGGCTTAGCCATCACGGTTGTGTCTTGCACAGCAGCAGGAAAGAAATGGTCATGGGGGAGTCCCTGCAGACAGTCATGATAACCATTTCTCCTTTCTCTTCCAATTATAATGCCATTTCCCTGTGTGGACAGATATGAGGACAGGAAGGTGCTTGGTCTTGTTTTAGTATTAAGTACAAATGTTTTACCGAAGTTCAAAGTGTAACAGCCAAACACACTTACAAACAGCTTCAGAAGGTGATAAGCACTGGCGAAGATATGTCATTATAAGACTGCAGCCAGTGAAGCTATGTTGCTTTGCATTTGAGTTTGGGGAGTACTTTTAACAAAGTAGTAAAAAATATCCTATTACACAGTAGTGTAATTCCATTTTTTATATTAATTGCTCTTAAAGATCAAAAGCCATATTCTGTCTGTTAATATACACACTCACATGGCCTCCTGTGAAATCGATGAGATCCACATGTGTGCATCTGAGGCCTAAGTTTTTCCCCAAAGATTCTTTAAAATCCTTTCACAGAGCAGTAAGTCATAGAAGTAAGTTGTACGTTCCCTTTCTTCTGCCTCTGCACCCAAAACAGACACAGGTTATTACAGGCTGCTCTGCATTACACTGGATGGTGACGGTACCCTGAGGGGACACTGGCCAGCCAGAGATTGCCGTCGTTCTGCTCTCACCCTCGTCCACGCCTAGACGTTTCTGCAATCCTTTTGCACCAGCAGAGAAACAAGAATGAAATGGAGACCAGCTCCACATGCAGCCCACTGATGATACCGAGAAATGCTCTAGATACTTCAGCAGCAGGGAAAAGCACAACGAGACATCTCAGTGGCTTTCAGACAGAAGGAAATTAGGTATCTGTACAGAGCTGCAGCACAATCATGTGTGCAGATAACCTGGAAGCTTTTAAGAAAAACAGAGTGGATACATGATTTTAGCAGTGCGGAAAGGTTCAACAGCTTCAAACCTGAAAATCCAGGGATTCCAATAGACCATCTCTGTATTAAGGGTAAAAAACATTGAAACAATCTGCCACAACTGGCAAAAATTAGCAGGCTTGCTGCCAGCCTCAACAGAACTGCCTGTCAGAGGTGCAAATCTCTGAAGGAGTAGCTCAGACTGCATTCAGACTAAGGTTGAGCTGAGTTTGCAAGCTTCAAAATCTCAAGACTGCAGGTGCCAAAGTGACCCGAACACTAGGAAGGGCTTGATGACAGCTCTCACTGCAGTATTTCAGCAACTCTACTCCTAACCCTGCTTTGGCTTAAATGTTCCCAGGGACACAAAATGAAAAATATATTTATATGGCTTTATAGAGACATTTTAAAAGTGGAATGTTTTGATTTTTCCTCAAGGCAGCAGCTGTTCTCCCCACCATCTATGTGGAAAGCATTAGCTTATGATTTGAATCACTGTTAACCAAGTGAAAGAATAACGGCATCATTGCCTAAGCCAGTTTATAGTC